GATCTGACCCCGCGGGCCTGGCTGCAATCTCGTGCTCATCAACACTGGGGCCGGCTCCCTCTGTCAACGGCGACCTCAGGATGGAGTTGCAAATTAGGAGGGAAACCCTTGGCATTTTATTTCCCGTGATAAAAAATCATTTCTTCAAGGAACCAGGCCAGCACTTAATCAGTATTTGCTACATGCTATCAAGCTCATTTTCATAATGGTTATTTCTATTGGACAACCAGGCATAAAAGTGCTATTCCTTGAAAATGAGGCCGCAATCCAGTTCAAACAAAAATGTCTTATGGAAGGTATGCTTTAATTTAATTTAAGTCTTGGGAAACAGCTTGCCCAAAAATGACTTTTTTGAGTCACGTACGGGATCTGTCATTTTGTATTGACCTCCGCGGGCCTGAAATATATTGTGCTGGACTTGCAAAGCTTCTGAGAATGATATTAAAGTTGGTCATATTTTTAAATCTTATTCTATATCCACTCCGATTTTTACTTCACTGTGTACAATTCTTGGAAGCAACGCCATTATGGAATATTCTTTACTAGTTTTCTTGTTAATTAGAATTTGTCAAGGGCAATTCAGTAAATCACTGTAAAGGTAGAATTCATATTCAAATACAAATGAGGAGGAATGCACTCAGAAGAACAGTTCCCTCCATATTTTGATCCTGAGTAGATTTTATTTGAGGTTGTTTTTTTTTTAAGTGTTAAGGCCTAGCACTCAGTTCATTAGAATTTGCATAGTTTGTACCATCTGGAATAACTTACTTTCATTAAATCTTACACTGTTGACTATAACTCTTCTGTAATCTATTTCTCTTATTTTAACTTTCTTCGATAATCTTATAATAGAAATTAATCTTCTTTACTATGGGGTATCATTTGCTTTGCTGGCAGGCCTCAATTCTGCATCACACTTTCTGTGTACACCGCACCTCACGCTTGGCCGAGAATGCTGGGAATTATCAGTTGCTGGAATAATTAATAATATATCACTTCAAAAATAGCTTTTAAACAATGTAAATATTGAAGTCATCTTAAAAAAAAACACTAGGGCGTGTGTCGTGCATAGTTACGATCTTCTAGAAATGTGAAAAGTTATAAATGCTATGGCACTTTAGTATTCCTAACCAACATGTTTTCTCAACTGCAAGAAAGCAATCAGCTTCGTACTTTATCAAAGTATTATTACTACAGTCTACTTGGAACCTAGAACTCATTCCTCTCTGGAATGACCACAACATGAGAAGCAGCTAATGTTTGCCAAGTGTGTTTGGTGTTTGTGGGAGACCACGGCTTACTTTTTATGGGCACTATTCACGCAGGTATCTGCACATGTCAGTGTACTCAGGCTAAGTCTTGTGTATTAAAAAATAATACTGAAGCCTACTAGAGTAGTTAGATAGTTGCTTTTTCTTTACTTCTTTTTAAAGACACACAGCGGGCACTAAGAATACAGACATGTGCCTAGAGGTTTCATGGCAGCTTGTATTTCAGCATGAAATTCAATATTTGATGGTATATTAGTTTCTCACTCGCATCCACGACTTTTTACATGAACTGGGTTATGCATAGCCTAGGCTGTGGGGGAGATGGTATACAAATGAAGTCTCATTGCTATGAACAATTTGCTGCCTCAAGATAAAATGCCAAAAAAACCCCGAAAAACTTTTGCTGTATTCGCAGTCGTTATTTTAATGTGACTCTATTAAAATCTATTCAAATAAAGAGCTCTGAGACAATAAACTCTTTACAATGTTATTCTGAAACAAATACTGCATTTTAAAGTAGGCTAAATGGACAACGTCCTTCACGGTCACATAGTTCCCTATGTGTGACTTTCTCATTGCAAGAAAAAAGGCACCTTTCTGTGAATGCCCTTTTCAAAATTGGGGGAGAACAATTTCCGTTCCAAGTTAGGTTTCGCACAGTCTCTGCAATCACATCTGAATTATTAACTTGGCTCATCAGTACATTCCCTTCGCAGATATCGGAGAAGGAGGCTGGTCCCACTGCCTGTCCAAAATTTTACCAAATATTGATTAGTAAGTGTTTATGTTTAAAATGAAAGCAATATTAGACACAGCTAATACTCCATTATCTTATATAAGTGATGCAAATTACTTACAACCCCAAACTGGTATATTTCATGTTAGCTGAAACGCAGGCATTTGGTCTACAGTTCCTATAACCTGCATTTTACCACTGAACAAAAATCCATCCCCCGAAAACTGTCTGTAAAGAATTTTTTAAAGATGTATAATTAGGACACCTGGCTCAAATCCTTTCATGGGTGTTTGGTTCATTTCTTGGAAGAAGTGTTTCTTTCTGGCTGTTTCTTTTTTTAATCAAAGCTACTCGGCTACATTGCCTTCTGACCAGACCTCAGAATATTAGCAAAGGCAGGCCCCGGCTTCGTCCAGATTTGAATATTAACCGTCCCGGTTTTACAGCCCTTCCGTGTGAGTGATGCACTGCTACGTCCCCCAAGTCAGCCGTCATTTCTTCCCTCCCGCGGCCGGCCATGGCCCCTGAACGTGCGCGTGGTGTCGCCGTGAATGTGCTCTGAGCAGAGTTATACGGCGTCATTTGGAGAAACATTGCGTTAATAACCAGAGTTCAAGGGCAAAGGATATAAACGGAGCAAATTACAAGTCTGAACAGATATATGGCTTTTGCTAAAAGGGACACGGGCTGCTACTTTATTTACTGGGCACTGGAGTGCTCGCGGAAGGTGCCGGAATGCGCCAAGGCGTTTTTAAACGGCCACGTTGCAGCCTAAGAAAACAACCCCCGTTTTCAGGCTAGAGAGAAAGCTAGTAGTACAAGGATCAATGGTTCTGAGTTTCCTAACGAGAGGCTATGATGTGCCTTAAGATTCCGGGGTAATTTCACAGGCGGTGGTATTATTTTATGGGCCACCAGGAAGAGAAGGCAGGAGTCTGCTGGAAACCTAAAGTCACTTGATCATTTCGAACTGTAACTTAGCCCAGTTTAGTCACAAACTTCTCGCTATGATTATTTTAACCCGGGGTTACCACCCTAGTTCAAAGCCAGCACTGTGGAAGATGGATTTGTAAAAATGCTAAATGTTCCTATGAGGACCTCAGACTACTTCAACATTACAGAAAAGGAGAACCAACAATTCAAAAGAGGAGAGAGGAAACCAATTTTAAAAAAAAGGACAATTTCATTACTAATCAAAGGAAAGAAAAGTCAAAGAAATAATCTCCACCTGCTACATGACCAAATACGTTTTTGTTAGTATTCTCCAAAAAAAACACTGAGAATACTGTAAAATATGTGATCTAATATTTTTCTCTTGGTAAGATGGAAAGCTGTTTGGTTTGTAAAGCAGCTTGGAAACTATTATAAAAATATCAAATATTCCTAATGCATGGCTGTTTCATTTAAAAATGTATTTGAAAATCAATCATTTAAAACACAGAAATTTTGCCTTAAGATGTTCCTTATTGTATTATTTACTTTACTAAAATCTAAATATCCAACAATGGGGAAATGTTTAAGCAAATTATGTATATGCTCAATGAAAATTATGCAGTTATTAAAATTGATTAACAGTGATTAATATTCTCTACTAATATTAAAAAGTTCTTTTGACATACTATATGAAAAAACCCACAGGGTTCATAGGTACTCTTCTGTAAGTATTTAAGCCTATATTTAAAAGATTCTAGGAAGAAACGTGCATGAATTTAATTTATGGGTGCATTTTTTTACATCAGTGTTAGCCTCACGGGATTAAATTTCTTTTAATTTTTTTCTGTTCTCTAAAGTTACTGTTACACTATTACAAAACCGCATTTAAAAGGGAAATGCATCCATATAAGTTCTTTCTCCCCCCCCACTCACTCCCAGTTCAGCCACAATGATACAAGCACGCCTCTGTGACCCGATTCACCCACACCTACTGCTGTTTTAAACAAGGCTTCCATTTCCTCAGTGATGCTCCAGGGCGGGGCAGAAGGGCCACCTCCTGCCCTTCTATAGAGCAATTAGGCAGAATAAGGTTTTCCCGATATAAAGAAGAAAAAAAAAATCCCACTATTTTCTCCGAACGATTTTGCTCTCAGAGGCACATGAATCAACGGACAGGCAGGACTGACTCGTTCCCTGACACGAAATGCATTACCTTCGGCGCGGCGGCTCGGACGGGAGGAAATACGCGCTATGGACGGGCTTGTCCTTGGGTCGCCGGGGAAGGGGCCGGATGACACAGTAGCTCTGCGCCAGCCCCAGCCCAGGGCTCCCTACTCCGTTCCTCCTGTTACCCTCTGTCTGCTTCCAGCCCCACTCGTAGCCTGAGGAGCTTTCCGAAGAACACTTCCTCAAACCGAATGGCCTAGAACCGTGTGCTGGCATCTGTTCGCACGGGCAAACAAACCCTAGTCGAACTGCTCACACGCGTTCTCCACGCGCAAAAGGCGGATAGAACTATGACAATGATGCATGTTCAAATAGGCACAACACACATTCTAATGACTGTTTTTGGAAAGAAGTTTGATGGCATTTAATAGGAATTGTTGTATGTTTTTATCTTGCATAGAGCATTTTTTTAAAAACTGCGTTCAGTGCTAATGTTGCCTGAGATGGGGGGGGGGTGGGCAATGCTCAGGACTGACTTCATACAGTGTCTCAGAGGCTGATAGGGTCGTTCGCACCCTTGACAGACAGGAGCTAGAAACTGCAATTTGGAAAGAGAAGGCTCGGGGACTGTTCTGATGGTGAAATGATGCGTCAAACATCAGCCCTAAATTATGCGGGGCTCCTCGCCCTGCACTGTCCCCGAGCGCGTTTTCCTTTCTCCCACGGAGATAGAATAGAAACTAATCTTTCCCATCTAAACATCCCGAGCCGGGTCCTCTGAGCAGGCGTCCTTCTCTGGGCTCTAGGTGCAAGTCCGTGCAGGACCGCGCGGAGCCCGCCCCTATTCACATGCGCGGGTCCCCGCTGTTCGGACCGCAGCGGGCAGACAGGCCATCCATCATCCGCACCCCCCCGCCTCCCTGCGCGCGCCCTGCGCCACCGCCAATCGGGCGGCAGGTGGGGCCGCACCTGCGGGACAGTCCTCCGCTTTCCTCGGCTCTCCCCCGCGCCGCCTGGGCTGGCGGTGCCCTTGCCAGCCCCTGCGCTCTCCGACGCCGGAACCGGACAGGTACGCTCGGGTGCCCGGGCAGTGCGCGCCGCCGAGACCTCCGCCGCCGGTGGCCGGCCAGGCAGGCGGCGGGGGACGTGGGAGGGGAGGACACATTCCCCTTTATCGCACATGCCTGCCTTGATTGGTCTGCCGCCCGTGTGCGTGCACGTGTGCGTGCGCGTGTGTGTGGCCACACGGACCCTCCCTGGGTCTGGCCTCTAAAAAGTGGAAGAATGATGATGCTTACCTTTGGAAGGGAAGAGGAAGGGAGGACACAGTTTAGTGATAGGATTCGTTGCCTCCGGTCTGCTTCTCTGACAGTGTGCACCCCTGGTGGAGTTTGCTGCTAAGCCTGCACTCGGCCTGGCCCCTGCATACACTTCTGGCAGCGTTTCCCCGCCACCTAAGGGAACAATATTAAGGCAACGCTAATAACTGGTCTCTATAGGATGCAGAAACTCCCCCAAATAGAAACCTAACCCCAAATAGAAACTGGACCTACATCTCAAGGGCTATAAACACAGACCGTAACAATTCAGAACCAGAGCTGAACCTCAAACCACGGGGAAGCCTGCATTTCCCAGACAGGCAAACCTATCGGACAGCAACCGCCGTGCCTGCCAGGGCTGTTCTGTGGAGGCAGCTCCGAGTCCCACCGTGCCGCCCCACGTATGGATTTTATAACTGGGTTCCATGCCTCCCGAGCACGGGCCTTATCGTGTAATTCGAGAACAACTGAGGACAAGCCGATTCCCCACCCCTCCCTCTTTTAGGTTCTGAGAGTGTGTCTGGGTAGACCTTAGCTCTGTCCAGGCAAGGCCTTGAAAAAACAAGACAGTCTTGCTGGTGGCTTCAAGCCTTGAAGGTTTCTCAGAAAAACGTATTTCTCTCGGCGGGGGGCGGGAACCAGAAAACACAGCAGCCAGCACCAAGCCCCAACCTTCCACCCCGTCTTGCTTCGGAATCATAAATCATGGAAAGGAGAGGGAGAGCATGACTCCGGCTTTCCTGCCTTTAACGACTGCGAGTGGTAACGCCAGAAAGGAAGGGGAGCGGATGTGTGGGCCTGGGCCAGAGCCCCCGGCTGCAGGCGGAGCGTGCCCTTGGGAAGCTCCAGGTCCCCGTCTGTCTGTCAGTCAGAGCCTCGCAGGGCAGGGAGAAGGCCGGGCCCTCCTCCAGGAGAACGGTTCTCAACCCTGGCTTCACCGGAGAGTGCCCTGCTCTAGTCTTTGTTGTCCTTGTCGTTGGTGTGCGGAAAGGCTTGTGCCTAGAGCAACATGCGGGTTCTGTTGGCCTGGTGTGCAGTCTGGACAGAAAGAGCTTTTCCAGCCACTGGAGTGCCTGGCCCCCGGCCCACATGCCGGTTCTGTGGCCTCATGGGGTACAATCGCCACCCCTACTTCGCTCGTCACCACCCGCACCCCCGCCCCAAACACACACACACACACACACACACACAGCCAACATCAGGCAAAAGTCTGTCTGTCTATCTGGTCTGTCTGTCTCTCTCCTTTCTTCTGATTCATAACTCGCTGATTAGCTTTCTGGCCTATTTATTTCAGGGGCTGAAAGCTTATCACTCCTCTTCTGAATACCCTGAGAGCAGCTTTCATTTCTTGCAATTGATGCGTCATGTTTTTCATGACAGTTTAAAAGACTGACTTCTGGCAGGGAGCAGGGAGGGCAAGGGAGAGAGGTATGCTGAGGACTTTGGAAGCCCAGAACGGCTTGCCCAGCACTTGGAGAGACTCCTCCTTCGGCCGCAACTTTGGTTCGTCTGCGCGGGGTCTGCCTGCGCCTCTGCGGCTCGCCCACCGGTGTCTGGCTGCATGGTTTTTATGAGCAGAGCATTCTTCCTGGTCACTAAAGTGGAACCGGAGTTTCTCCTTCCCTGCACCTTTCTCACCGCCTCTCTGGGTTATGTTGCACGCTGTTCCTTGAGAGATAGATGATCTGTTCTTTGATTAGACACCCTGACCTTTTACGGGTGTTGATCATTGATCTCCATCCGGGCCGGACAGAAAGCTCTTGACCCTGAAAAGTTACCTCGCTGCCAGCACCACAGGGAAATTCAATTTGTGTGGCCACACAGCCACGGCGGCGGGACTCCTCCTCAATTAGGATTTCTCGCGTGATTATTTTAGTTTTATTAAGCAGGCGGTGGCCTCTGCTTTCCAGCTCTAGCTTTTAGTTACAGTAATCAATTTTTCAGTGTAACTGGCTGTAATTGTCGGCTGGGATATTGAGCTTTCATGGGTTTAGACATAGTGTGTTCTCACGCGGGGTCCTCTCCATACCTCACAGACAGATGGGTAATAATACCATACATTAATACCTCCACATTGGTTTATGTGTGTTTGACCACAATGCAAGCATAATTATTTTTGCCCAGTAAAAGCTATTAGAGATCTATTTGGTAGGTTTTACGATCAATAGCTCCTGTGATATTTGTGTAGCAGCCACAGAATAATCAATTGAAGGTCATATAAAGTAAATTACCATCCTCCTATAATGATTCTTTTTTCTAGATGAGAATTGGGTTTTATTATTTCATCAGGATCCTCTCCCGACGCATGCTCTGTCTGTCAGTGAAAGGCAGAGATGAAAGTTGGGAGCGTGTTTTGAACATAGTATTACTATCCATTACTTGAATTTATGTTATCGAGTTATTGAATTAGTGGATTCACACTGGAATTCCTTCAAAACCCTCTCTTATGTACTCCGTGACACAGTTAATAACAGTCACGAGCAAATGGGTGTCTTTGCTGCCTGGTGGAGTGAGTCACTTTGCAAAAGTCAATCTTTGTAGCTGTCTCTTTAAAGCAAATTTAGAGTTGGTTAAATGTGTTATATTGACAGTGTGACCGAGCTTCTCTCTTCCAGCCCTTTCGGAGAGTGACTGGCGAACTAAGCAGGACAGGGAGTCAGGAATGCTGAATACTAATGCACTGTCCACCTTAGCTCAAGGTGAGCCCGGAGACAGGGGCAGAGTGGGGGGCGGGGCTCCACACCTGCCTTCCTGGGGGCCTCTCCCTCACCCGAGATGCCTAACCTGAATTTCAGACTTGCAGCGCGAGCCGGGGCAATGGCCGTGCCTCTGTAAAAGATTGCAATTTGCCAACCGGAGGCACGCAATCCCCCAACTGTCTTAAAGGGACCCATTTCCAGCCTTTCTTTTTGAGGGTGCAATCAGTTGTGCACTGAAAAACTGAAGCCACAGTTGGATAACTGCGGGCACAACAGGCCACGAGAGGCCTCTTTGCTCCAAATTTTGTACCTGCAACTAATTGCACTCGCAGAAAATGGGAGTGTGGTAGGAGCTTTTTTAAAAATTTGGGCCAGTAAATTCTCCATGGAGGGACTAGGGGAGGAGAAAGACAATTACTCACTTTCTCAAAGACAAAGGCAGATAGAGACATCCTTGCTTCCGCACACTCCGTCTGGTCCACAGAGCATGGGTGGGCGCCAAGGCCCAGGTACCACGAGTGTGCCAATCCGCTGGGACGTGACCAGGGAACCCGTGACAGGCCGCCAATGTACAAGCAATAATCTGTTGCAAAACACAGTGGGAAAAATATCGGTGAGTTTGTGACTATAACTTGTGATAAATTAATGAAGCATTTTAAGGTAAGTGGCAAAAGGCACTTGGTAAAGAAATGCTTATTATTGCTGTGACTTTTCATTTGCTTTGGGGACAATAAATGCACAAGTTAAGATGGAACGCGTCTAGATTTTATCAAATGGTAAATCAGGAGGCATTTTAAATTTATGTATGACACATATTTATGTATTTACACATATATGAATGTATTTATACAAATTATATGGTGTATTTTCATGCACATATACACACCTGCACATATATATGTACCCACATTTTATATGCATACACATATTTCATTTACATTTTATGAGTCTAAAAATAGGGTGGTCTGTGGTCTGGGTCAGTCCTAAGTTATTTATAGTGGCTGACCCTCCGTGTGGAGGGGCTCGAGGAGCTGCGTCACAGGGACCCCGTCCTACGAGGTGGTGACAAACACACTGGGCCTGAAACCAAGAACACGTTTCGGAAGTTTGCAGATGACCATGAATGAAGCACCTAGTCTGGAGATTAGAAATCAAATATGAAAAATAACCCTGGAAATGTGAGACACCATTCTTACAGAAATAGTCTGAAATGTAACCGGATCCCACTGACAGGTTTCGCAGCCAAACGAAACAGGGGCAGGCCCGGGAACGGAGGAGGAACAGCACGGTAACCGTTCACAAGCAGAGGGGTCCGAAGCGCCGTGGCCGCCCAGTCTCGGGACACCACAGTGAAGGGCCGCAAGTCAGAACATGAAAAGCCAGGGGTTGTACCTTGTCTTCTTCAGTGTACCCGCCACCTCTCTGTTGCAATGTGGGCATAAATCAGATTTTGAAATTTGAATAGTTTTTTTCCCCCATAGAACAATGCTAAAGGGAATTGTTAGGCTCTCCCACAAGCTTCCTTTAAAAATTGGCTCTTAATGTAAATAGAACACTCAACCACAGAGCGCTGGATGCATTTCCGTACCAATAATGGCACTTGTCTCCATCTAGGAGTACTGGCCTGGAAACGTCCTCTCCTGGGGAAATGCCTTCCAGAGAAGAAGAGCCACGGGAAGCACACATTAACCCTCCGTGGCTTTTCAAGGGCCACCCAACCTGCCCCAAGATGGGGACATTGGAGATGGTACAGTACGAAATGATCTATAGGGAAAAAAATAGGACTATTTTTCTTCAGAGAAAAAAGTAGTCAGAATTTGGGAAATGGACTTAAATGAGAAATAATTTCATATGCACAGAAACGCATCCTATGAATCATAAAAGTTAAAAAGAAAGAGTTTTTACAAACAACACAGACAAGCTACAAACATATCTAACCTTGTAAGTAAAAAGAGCTATCTATGCAAATGAGGCATTAAATGAACCGCTGTGATTGGAACACGTGGATGACGATAAGGGTGACGATCATTAAAATCGCTTCCTTCCAAGTT